TTCGCTGATAACAACAACCCCCCCACCCCTGGGCAGCAATTATAAATTATGGAAAATAAGAACCATATTCGAAGAGTGGAATAGAAAATGTGCAGAATTTTTCTATCCATTTCAAAAACTTGTGATTGATGAATCCTTGATATTGTTCAAAGGCAGGCTTGTGTTTCTTCTTTTAAAATTATACATTTACTCAACCGATTCCTCTTTTATTTGATAGGATTCTCCTACAGGCTTTAACCCACATTGGTGACCCCGACGTAAACTACTACAGCTCTGCTGATCGCTCCAAATCCTGGCGGCTTTCCTGATCACCCACGTTGGCGACAACTAGAGACGAACAGACCAAGAGAGAAAGGGCCACCATGGACCCAAGCCAAACTAGAATCAAGTCGACATGGAGAGAGCAACACGACCTTGGACCATCGCCGACTAGGATCGTGTCAAGGTTTCGCGTAAGTAGAGTTTTCGAGTGTATCGACTAAGTCGCGATTTTTTATTGTGGGTTGAAGCCAAATAAAAGAGTACTCTGTTAAGTAAATGTTAAATTTTAAAAGAAGGAACACAAGGTATATATTAGTCGCGACCGACAGTAAAAAAGTTAATGCCAAACTTGCATGTAAATATTTAATGCCTGGCAACCCAGTTTGTTCCGTTGCCAAGATTTGGCGATATAGGGCGCACAAGGACTAGGATCGTTATTATGACATCGGTTTCTTGACACTGACACTTGGCTAACCTCAATAAAATCGACCTAGGTCTTAAACTAAAAATGACATGAAAGTCAAAACTAAAAGTAAGTTTATGTGAGGTTTGTTCCAACAACAATCTTGGAACCGTACATAAACCAGTCCACAACTTATTTTCGAACGACTGATAGTCGGCGACCTATCAACGACCTGTCAAGGATTGGGACTTTATTCGGAACTTGGATGTGCTGGATCACATTTTTTTGTTGTCAAACTAAATTACGATCAATAATAGTATATAATCCTTGAATCGAGACTACGATCAATAATATCAAAACAAATATAATTACGAAATGTTCAGAATTGATCGTGCTTTATTTACGAGCTCACTTTCGTTTCGGAATGAAAACGTGTGTGTAGTGTGATTGTGATACCGGTGTTGTTCTGAAGATATTAGTAGACACTGGATCTGAAATTGACACTCCTCGAAATGATACTCTATCTCTCAGTTGCGGTAATAAAAAACTTATGGTGAACTATGAACAAAAGGGACATTTATTGTATACTGATAATTGGTATACTAGCTCCAAACTAGCTATTTATCTAAACCAACGAAACACAGGTTTATGTGGTACAGTAAAAAAAATAAAAAACGCTTTCCAAACTTTTTACATCGTGTGGAACGTGCGATCGCCAAGATTGTGGAAATGTTATGGCCCTCAGGTGGAAAGGCAAGCTGATGTGCTGATGCTATCAACAATTCACCAAAGAACCTTGGAAATTAAGCGGAAATATAGATCATCTAACTGGTGAAAATATTTCCAAAACCGGACTGTGTAATAGATTATACACAAGACATGCGTACGATTAATAAGTGTGACATGCAGTTAGCACTCGTGGAGTGTGTTCGGAAATCAATCAAGTGGTACAAAAACCTATTTTTCCACCTGGTCAATGTTACTACGCTAAATGCATATAACATATTTTTAGTAAAAACAGAGTTTCACTACGACTGAATATATTTTTAAGGAAAGTCATCCAACAAATTTTAGAACGACATGGAACTTTGACTGCTACTAGACCAGGGAGACAATGCAGGGCAGTAATTGATCGCTTAGCTGCAGTAAATTTCATAGAAAGGCATTTTCCCGCATAGGTTCAACGCACTGGAATTAGACAAAAGGGACAACGGAGTTGCCATGTATGTTACAATACCGATCGAGGTGTAAGAAAACAGAAGTATGTTACAAATTGGTGTGCTGAATCTAAAGTAGGACTTTGCATACAAAACTTATCATACTGTCAATGTTTTTTTTTTCTCTCGAATATATGGAGATAGCTATAAAAGAGGAGGGTAGTTATTAACTCCGTCTACCTCCTCTAACTTTGTCATTTCTATGTACAAAGATGTATATAAAGAATAAATCTATCAGCATTTACAAAACTTAAAAAAAATTATTTTGCGTTTAGACAGAGTCTTTTGTCAATATATAAGCGTAGCTAAAGGGTTAAGTAATAAAATACATTACATTAATTATAATCTTGTATTAATTACCCAAGTAAATTCTTCACTGATTGATCGTGTCAGTAAAGAATAGAAATACTATGTAAATATCGGCACAATGCACGACGCGTTTTCCTGGACTGTGACTATATTGACGAATGAATACAGCGAGTATAGCAACGCTGCATAGATTATTGCTGTCTCGCTGCACTGACCATCTTTCTCTTTCTTTGGCTTGGCTGAAATGGATTCGAGCCGAGTTTGGCCGAATGAGCGTTACATAGCCGAGCGTGACGGTTCAGTCTCATTCACAACCCAGAAAAAGAATATGCAAGGCGCGTCTAAAGAAGTTTTCACTTTAAAAATCAGTTGGCATCTTGGTATATTCCATTGTTGCCAATTTTAGTGGCTGCAAGATAAACACCCTGCAGACATTTTCTAGAACCATATTATTCTTATAATATCTAAGTTATAGAGTTATAGAGTTAATAACCCTGAGTCGGCAACCTCGTGGATGAACCTTGGAACTGCTGACTATAACATTAGATTAGTTTGTGTCATTCCACCCTAGGTGTAATGCCACCGGTTGTATTGTCTTTCCTTTTATTATATTCAGTTTAAAATCTGTTGTTGATAAGTAAAGTTGTAATTTAAATTAAATAAATCTTTTTAAAAAACTAAATACAGAGTGTACTTAGTTAAGTTGTATATGTAATTACAACCAACCATTGTTTCTAAAGCTTCAGTGAGCCATGATCTGATTGGCGTTGTTAATTTTGGGTAAATCTCGTGTTTTTGTGTATTTGTTTGATGAAGAGGGGATTTATTGTTGTTGTGCTTCCTTGTACTATAAAATTACTGTTCCCAGAGCATTTTAGAAGCCAACAGTAAGGGGTAAGGCTAAAAATTAACGAACAAACCTTTGAATAACTATTATATTTATTTTTACTATTTAAATTGATGGATAGGTGCCTTTTTACGGTTATTGGGATATAAATTGTTAATACTTTGTTTCGGTACATTAGAAGCCATGCAATTTCCTTACCCAGAGGACACCAAGGCTCGTGCTGTTCAGGTATATTTGGGTGTGGTATTGGTAATACTAACGATACTAAACATTTCGTAATAATCCATTGATTTCAAATAAAAAAAAATATTGAAGCCCAAATAAAAACGTGATGAGCAAAATATTTATAAAAAATTATAATACGTTAGGGAAAATCGATGTAGGAACAAAGGAAAGAAAAAATAAATTAGTAATTTGTGATTATTGTGAATATTAAAAGCAAATAGAAACTTTATGTTATGTTTAAATGTTTATCATAAAATTTCTATCCATATTTTAAGCAACTAGTTTGCCGTTACTAAAGTGAAATATTGATGATATAATAATGAATGATGAGTTAATTACATTTTTCCAACTGCGCCATTTTTAGCTGGTGGTACAGCTTGAATACAGCAAAAATATTAGTAACATTTAAAGTATGAACACCGTTGATATAAATTTAAGTTAAACCGATAAAATGATATTTGTTAGAAACCTTCAGTAAACAGTTTATTAAAAAAGCTGGAAGTTATTAATTTTGTTTTATTAAACGTACATTTAATGTTAATGCGAGTAATACATGAATTGTTGTTAATGATACATTAATTTTTGTTAAAATTTAAGCGTTTATATACAAAAATGTAAAAAATTGTCGATTTTATGTTAAAGTATCCCCTATTAATAAAAAAATTTAAATTTTGGATTATACGGCGATTATTTAAAAACCTATTTCATTGGCTGGTTTGTAATTATTCGATAAAAAGGTATGTCTACTACTTCTTACGAGTTTTTAATTACATTAATCTTATATATTCACAAAGCATTTTTAAATAGTTACCTAAATGTAAAACGTTAAAGCATTGTATTTAGATCAACTAGTAAAACAATACCAATGTAAATTATCTTGGAGGACAATGGACAGTATCAACAGATGGCAGCAAGATCCGTGGTGTCCAAGTCATGTCTTTGATAATTTTGTCGTCTTCGAAACGAACGTAATTTCTCTATTTACTATTAGATGGGCCCATAATCGATTCAGAATATTTGTTTTAAAAATGGAATAAACGAGTTTAATCATGCTTGTTGAACATTTATTTACGATTTATTATCATTTTAGAGAATATAAACAATAGTAATTTAAATTTAGTACTCTACCCATATGAATTTAAAAATTAGGAATATTTTATGTATATAGAATTCTGTACTCAATGATCGAGGTAGTGCTAGCGTTCGGGATATTTTGATGAATTTCTAACAGATGTCGCGACAGAATTGCCTCCAATGAAACGTCCATAAGGTTGTTCTACTATCTTCTCTAAATACAATGGTTAAAGTTAGGAACGTTCATTCAGGGAACAAGTTGAGTTAGGCGATGCCCTGATTTTTAATCACATTTTGAATCAAAATTCAAATAAATTAGATTATCTTTCCTCAAAATTATTAAAAGTTAAATATTCGTTAATATCTTTCCTTAAAATATTTAAGAAATCGATAAAAAAAAACAAATAAAAAAATTTAGTTTACCAAGAATAAAATAATTAAATGACAGTTCATTATAATGATGTTGCTATCTCCAAGATTTACATGTGGATTGGGCTATAAACCTCGTTTTGAATACTAGCAGTAAGAAGAAGTAGATTTACCAAAAAGTTTATCGATTTTGAGATATTTGGCAAAATATTTAAGTCCTACACTGAATTTTATTACTTCCTAACAATTTTGAACCTAACTAATAAAAGTCGGATTAATTTGAAGTACAACTTACCTCGGCAAGGATCGTTCTTCACTAGGAACTCGTCTAAAGCTACCCAACCACCTCCGACACGTACCATGACGGTACTTCGAAGGATACGAACCAGACGGAGTTTTTGACTTTCACCAAACTGCAAACAAACATTTTATGAATTATTATTATTATTATTATGTCAAAATTAAATTATTAAAATCGATGATTAAGAACACAAATATATGTCCATTTTTACCGAAAATGGATATTCTTCAGGATGAAATCTTTATGGTTTCCAAATATAATACGTCCACTTAAATAGGTTTACCATTCAGTAAAGTGAAGCTAATAAAAATTATACACAGCTCGTTATAGTCACCTCCAACTTTCAAATCGATTTTACTCAAAACGACATACATTTGTGCTCTTAGCCATGGAAATATCCTTACCCTGTATTTGCCTTCCCCTACTTGGAATACTCTGAATTTTTGTCTGCAAGTACACAACATGACCAATCTCTTGACCTCGTCGTGAATCTTTTGAGCATCATTGTCCGGTGTTTTTTCTTCCCAATCGGGCCGGAGAGCTGCAATGAACTTCTTCCAATCGATCAATCCTCTGTTGTTTTCATCAAACATGTCCGCTACGTGTTTCATTTCCAAACGAGAGGTGTCGAATTCTGAAAAAGGAAACGGAAATATTAAAAGAATCCGATGCTTTATGTTTTAATTTGTTTAAATCTGGAAATAGAGTCCTAAAGTTCTAAATAATAATTTTAAGATTTAGAATAAAGAACAGTTTTGTTATATTTGGTTATATTATGGTAACAATCTGCATTGGGATTCTCATCTCTCAATTCGGCACGTGTTGAGACGACTATCTTCGTTCCACAGAATTCGATTCGTATGTAATGATATTTGTTAGAAAACTTCAGTAAACAGTTTATTAAAAAAGCTGGAAGTTATTAATTTCTCTATTCAATTCGTTACGTGTTGAGTACGTGCATAGGTAACTGTCAATATAAATGTATAATAAGAGCAATGTACGTTGGGTTGCATATAATAAAATCATTGATTAATAGAAAATGATTCATTAATAGGAGGCATTAATCAACGATTTTGAGTGCGTTAAAATACATTATAAATAGTCGATCGACGGAAAAAATAGTTTTTACCTATAACTCACTAATAGCAGAGACAACAGAGACGTGTAACTTAATAGGAAAATATGTTCGGTGGTCCATTTAAATTACATATATGACCCTCTTTTTCTTTTACATTGATCTTTACATATGTCTATCTCTCTCCAATAAAACTAACACCATTTTCAGAGGGCGCTGGTGTTGCTGGTTTTTTGACGTCGAAATATCGATTAAAACTGACAACTGACAATGTTATGAATGTTGTTAGGAACATGTGCATTTTATTAAAATTAATTTAATTTGGGCCCGTATATTTCTTTGAGTCTGATTTTGTTGTTTAATTAATTTTCTTTGGGGGGAATGTTTATTTTTGCATATTTTTTTTGCATGAAGCAATTTCTGGAACCAAACTCGCGTTTTTGTACACATTTCTTTCTAGAGGTAAGTAATTTCCAATTTATTAAGAAAACCACTGTATAATGTGTGTGTTTAATAATATATTACATAATGACTATAATTATTTTAGGTGAATTGGAACAGAGATCTATTGTTACAGCTACTTGTGTTCATTAAGTAGGTAGATGAATGTCTGGACAGCTTTAATGGTAGCACAAAGTTCCTATCTACTAGAAAAGTAAAATGTATGCTGAATAAAAAATCTGCACATGTAGTATTGGCAAAGGACTTTTGAAATGATTAGAGATTAGCTATTTCTTACATACACCTACCTCTAACAGCCACTCTAAAGGAAGAAAAAAACATTGAATCACAAAAGGGCAGAATTTTAAATCGGGATGCATTGGAAAATAAATTTGGGGACATCAGGTCGGTTCTGGATTTAATAGAGAGATCAATCTCAAGAAAAGTTAATTTATCCTGCAGAACAACCAGTAGTTTAAGTAGGATTTGGTATAACTTTATTAGAAGATTTCCTTGATAATAAATTGTAATATAGGTACCAATTGTTTCAAATCAAAAAAAAGTTAAATTCAAAATTAGATTTTTCATGGGTAAAATGTTTTATTCATTCAAAAATTGTAAGGTAATCTATAATTAAGGGAATATGGAAAATAGGTATACCCTGGTGGTGTAAGAGACAGGTAAGGGGCAATGACAAAAAAATTACAAAAATGTATTCATCTTTAAATAGTGTTTATTATTAATATTATTTGCTATGTTTGAAAAGTACCTCCTGCTGCAGAACAGATCGAATAGATTAGACGACTAGTTGGAGAAGGTTCACCTAGTAACCAAATTAGGAGACTAGGAAAACTTTTACATGACTGGGGACACAACAAGAATGCACACCCACAAGATACACAAACGAAAAAACAGGGGTAAGCCTTCAGCAACGTCCTGTTTAAATGATAGTATGTCATCCTTCATTCCCTTTTAGACTCAGGCCTTATACATTTGTGTTGAGTGTATGTGTGTGTTTGTTTTGTTTCCATGGTTTCTATTAAAATAAACAGTCATAACATATCGATACCTTTTTGCCAGACTAACATAAGCGACATTTGTTCAAATGTCAAATGTTACATTAGTTTTTAAATATATTATGAATATTTAACAACTGTTACTTTGTAATTTGTCACAAAATTATAGGAGGTACTTTCTGAACATAGCAATTGTAGTTTGTTTTTCTGTACCTTACAAAAATATAATTTATAGAAAAAGAGTTTGGTGTATTATTTTTCCAAGTTTAAATATTTAATAATCAATAGAATTTTCAAGTTTTTTTAGCGAAATTTACAAGAGTAATAAAAACTATGTTCACTGCTTATATTAAACTGATAAAACTTCCTTTATTAAAATGATTATTTATATGATAAAAATTTTGATGTTATTGGAAGCTTTTATATTTTTTAATAAACAGTGAAACAATAGTTTTTGTTTCTCTTGTAAATTTGTTGTATACAAAAACGATATCTGAATCCATGTTTGAATTTCCCGCCCTGAAGCATTTTTAATTTTCCCGCTATTTACTAGTGGCGCCATCATAGACTGGTTGTGGTTACAATCGCCCAAATAAGTTTTACCGAACAAAAAAAATACATTGAGTTACACGTCTCGCTGGATTGTCTCTGCTAATAGCAACAAGTTTTATTAATTAGAATAGTTTCGAGATATATTGCGACACATCAAGCGTCCCCCACCAATTCATTTTCGTACGTAGTGCAGTGTTTCCCACACCGACACATTGTGGGCAGAGTTGTCACAATATTTCCAGAAACATTTCTAATAGTAAATCTCTAAATAAAATAACTTGTAACAAAACAAAAAACGTATAAAATGTGTACAAAGTACGTTAAGCTATTTTAACTTCTTTCAGCAGACTTGATAGCTTAGCAGCACCTATTTTTAGACTATTATGCAGGGCATTTTTGTATCTATCGTTTTGACATATTATTGATAAATAACTTTGCAAATACTAAGTCAAACTATGTCAAACACCATTAATAGGCTTGTAACTAAATGAATGGATTTTAAAAGCGTTAAACGTGACACCACCGCAATTACTACACGTCACGTATAGTAATGAGAATGAGGATGAGAGGATGAGAGGATGAGAGGATGAGAGGATGAGAGGATGAGAGGTTGAGGATGAGGATGAGGTTCAGTAGTGTAGATTTACAGATTTTCGCCGTAATATCACATGTATTATATACCTTTGTTTTACTATTATTTATTTCCTTTGATATTTCAACGTTATTAATTTCGCAAAAATTATTATTAATGGAATCTCTTTAGTCTGGACTTTAGTAGCAAAATAAATATGCTTATGCTTGCTTTTTAGATTCCCAACTGATAATTATACAAAAAATATTTGGCTATCACTTGTAGGACTTGATGAAAATGAAGGTATCCAAAAAAGAGTGTTATGCTCGGAGCATTTTGAAGGTTTTGGATACATTAATTTTAAAAACTGTAAAAACTATAGAATCTAACATATTCAATTTTTTAGATCATATTTTGATGGCAATATTTTTGAAAATATCTTCTTTTTCTTTTCCAATGATTAGGACCAAACAAATGATACGTTATGAATAAAATACTTCATCTGTTGTTTTTTTCATCTAAGATCAACACATAGATCAGCTCGTATCACCTAGTATTTACTAGAAATCAACTCATTTTGCTTAGACACTCTCCCTACAGTCTCGATCTTGTCTCCTTTATTTATTTCCGAAAACTACAAATGCTGTCTTAATTCAGCATGTCAAACTACATGTCTGGAATTCCCCAATAACTGCATGGTCCAAAATTTTTGAATTGTGGTTTAAACAAATGCATAAATGTATTAAACAAAAATAGCTAATAAAAAATATATATCGAACTCTCAAAACTTTTTTTAGTTATCTATGTAAATAAAACGTTACTTACTCGTCTTGATAATTCCATCGATGAATTCATCTCTGGGAATCAACTCGTTGTTGTCTTTGTCCATTTTTCTGAACAGATCTGTCAACCTAGATTTTTTGTAATTCATGAATTTCAAGAAGCGTTTCCTCCAGTCGTCCCACGAGAAGTTATCCGCTTTTTCTTTTTCTTTGAGATAAGCCAGATGATCGTAAAGCTCTCTCTGTCTTTCCCACGAAAGCATCCATACGTGACGCCATTTGTCGTACAAGAATTTGACTCTTGGTGAACGGAATTCCGGTTCGCTACATTTTCGTGAGAAAATTTTGTTAAGCCAAATTGTTACTAGATTTGAAGTTTAGTTAGACATGTCTTATAAATTTTGTACAGTACTATGCTGTTATTAAAGATGAATACCGAAATTTTGGAGTACATTTCTAATGAGCAAAGAGTGAAACAAACAGAAAAACAGTTGAAAAAAATATTTACTAGTGGGAATAGAACCCATTTCCTTTGGTATGCCGTTTTAAAATCTTATACCAATAGACCACAAAAGCGTATGCATCCTAGTAATTAATTTTGGTTATAAGATTCAATTATAACTCGTATTTCGGATCAAATTATCTTCAACCACCTTGAATGAAATTAATAATTAGATCGACAGATGCATATACTCCTGTGGTCTAGTGATACCAAAGGTCTTTGGCTCGATTCTCACCGTGTGCTGATTTATCGTCACTGATTTTTAGAAGAGTAATTCTAAATTTCCTTATTTATTTTTCAATAGCTTTTTCCCCTTAAAATGATAAATTTTCCATTATAAATGTATCTAAAAGTCAAAATACCATTCATAGAAAGCTATAATCTAGGAGATTTTGAATTTATTAACATTAAATTGCTTATAGACAGTGATGTAAAAAGGAGCATACGTCATTTGAAGACTAATTTTACAAAGTAGCTATTAAAGTGTTAAGCAATAGATTTATTTTATTAGACATGTCTAACAAATAATTTTATTATTTTGGTCAGTATCTATAATACGTGCATTGAGTGATAAGTGACTTATCCCATCAATTTACAGTTGTAAATTTAAAATTTACAAAATAAGTGCATTTAAATTATTACATGCAAAATTGAAAAGTTGTGAATTAATTTTTAAAAATTAAAAGTCGTGATTTTTACAATTTAATAATTTGTGGTGTATTTAAAATATGTGAGGTTAAGAAAAATTTACGAAATGAAATTAACATTTCCGATAAACAGTAGAAGAGTAGATCCCTATGTTCCTAAAATAATACTCCAATATTTTAATAAAAAACAGCAGAAATTATAAAAGAAATTTCTTTAGACTTCAAGATGTTTTAATTTGAGGAAGAGTCTGAAATATGTAAAATCCAATTAGTACATGGAAATCGTACCAAAAACAAAGTGTTGCCTTACATCAAATGTGGTAAGTTGGTAGTGATGAAATGAGTAATCACAAATCCAAGTTTTCCACCTTGAAAATTCATTAAAATTTAGGAGTTTTTTCGGTTTTTGTCAATTTTACCACCAAGAACTTACGTTACGGCAAAAGTTACTATGAAAACTTTTTAAGTAGACTAAATTTGCAATTAAATGAGAAATATTTGGTTTTGGTAGGCCAAATAGTTTTTAAGATACGGTCATTTAAAAGTTTGCAAATTTAAAAAAAAAAGGAAGTATTAGTTTTTTAATTTTCGTCAATATTTACCCCTAAGTAGTGGGTTTATTGGAAAAGTTCCTTTTTAGTTATTAAAGTCCACTAAATTCCTAACAAAATGAGACCAATTATGTTAACTTGCACTAGCTGTCCAAAGTTGTTGGGGTAAGTAAACAATTATGTAATTTGGTTTTGGTAGACCAGATAGTTTGCAAAATTTCAAAAAAAGGAAGTATTACAATTTTTTTTAGTTGTCTGGTGGATCTTTACTAAAAGTGTAAATTGTTTTTACTTTTATGTGTAACATAACATATATTAATATTATAACAAAGTGTAGAAGAACTTTTTTACACATGAATTATCACCATCTACCATATCATTATTTAATGAAGATGGAATAAGGAAGGCAAAGTCAGATTTCAATCCTATGACTCTGAATGAGAATCAACAGAGGAATGATACACACGTAGTTGTAGACGGTGGACATCTGCTCAACAAAGTAGTGTTGCCTCGTAATGCGTCTTTTGGAGAAATTGGTTCCAGATATCTCCAATACTTGCAAGAACACTACGACTCAAATATAACTGTAGTTTTTGACGGCTATCCGTCTGACGCATCAGACAAAAATACCAAGAGCTCTGAATGTCTGCGTAGAGCTCTAGCAACATCCTCTCCTGATGTTATATTTGATGAAACAACCATTGCTTCAGTTGCTCAGGACAAGTTCCTATTGAATGGCAGGAATAAAGTTAGACTCATCGACATGCTGAAGGTTCACCTGGAGAAGAACAAAATTCTAACATTCCAGACAGAGGAAGATGCTGATAGGTTAATAGTAACCACAGCCATTTCCATATCCTCTTCCTACGAAGTAGTGAAGATCGTCGGCAAGGATATAGATTTGTTGGTCTTACTTTGTGGTTTATCACGAAATGGAGGAGACCACATCAACAAATTCCTTCACGCAATTATTACAACCCGGAATAGTACTGTTCCTTTACGCGTTTAGCGGTTGTGATACAAACAACATCAGCACCATTTTGTCAAGGAAAAAAAGAAATTTATATCGACAATAAAGGAATAGGCACGCCTCGAAAAAAACGCAGAGGTTTTCTTCAATGCCACACCTGAGCAAGTTGCTGACGCAGGAGAGACGTTCCACGTTTCACTTTATGGTGGCAACAGAGAATCGCAAAATCTTAGCGCTCTTCGCTTCCAGTTGTTCACTAGGGCGGCAGTTAACCTAGCCAGATTGACTCCAACCAGAGATGCTGCAAGATTTCACTCTCTGCGAATATACCACCAGGTGAGAATAAGTTTTTTGCTTGTATTCCTTTCTGCTTCAGACCACATTTATTATACATGGTTCCTTATTTTGTTTATGATTTTGTTCAGGTACAGAAGTGGCTGGAAAATGAGAAGAATTCTCTCGATTCGGTCTGGATACGGACTACACAAGGCCCGTTCCTAAACAGATAATGGCACCACCAGCTCCTCAAGCTCTGCTAAAAAAGGTTGTATCAGCAGTTGTGGTTGCAGGAAAGCAGGACTGAAATGCTGTTTGCAGCTACTGCACTGGCCAATCTTGCGAGAAGATATCAGACCTGATGTGTGACGACATTGATGAACCATTCATTGATAATAACACACCATCTTATTACGATTTCGACCTTCCTGAGCAGTTATACGAAGAAATTTTACCTCAACAAGCTGCCCCCAAAAGGTGTGCTATGGATTCATAGAACGAGCCTGGTCCATCAAAAATATACAAAAAATGTCAGTAATAACTATTTCCCCAACTGTGTTGTACACAAAATACAATGAGGCGTTTCATTACATTTTTCATATTAATGGTTTAATTAGTAAAATGTTTATTTTAATAAATTATAACGCTTATTTCACTAACAGGGC